ACAATGCCTCTGCTTGTGTTGTGTCCACCGGCCATTGGATTGGCACGCAATGTTTGGTTGGGTGTTTTCGGCCTGGCCTGGCTCATGGGATGCAGGATTCCAGGTTTGGTTGCCTGTTCATCGTACAGGGCCTGGTCCGGCAGCTGCAGGCACGCCCCCGCAGCCTGGCCCGTGGGAAATGGATTTGGAATTCGTTTCCACGCGGCCTGGCTCGCGCGGGCTTCGCTCGTGCACGCGCAAGGCAGAAAAGGGAGCACGGGAGGCAAAAGGAAAAAAATCCATATTACCTCTCTTAACTTTTGCGAAAGTATGTTTTTTCTCCGTGAACTCTAAAATCAGGTAAACCACCTCCCTGAATTTTTAAAACCGTTCGTTTTACGGTTATAAAGCGGTTTTCAAAGGCAGTTTTGTCCTTTCCTTTTATTTATTTTGGCTGAATCTTTGAAAAATCATAATAAATCACAGAAAAATCATAAAATGAAAAATTCAATTTTGTTGGACTCCACATGTGTAGATCTACACGGTGAATATATAATATGGTATGCTTTACTAAATTTTTTTGTCGTAACTTTAGATCTATGTTTTTCTATAATTAATTCATATTTGTAGTTTTAGTGTCCACTTATGATGAAATTTTTATGATAAGCTAATTATTGTATGCTTAAACTGTAGTAAAAATTACATACTCATTGGATCGTGTATAACTTAGTTATAGACTTATTTAGGTGTATGCTTGTTAAAAAGCATTTATAAATCTAGAACTAAGTTATACATGATCCAATGGGTATGAAATTTTTACTACAGTTCAAGCAGATAATAATTAGTCTACCATAAAAATTTCACCACAATTGGACCATAGAAACTGCAGCTTGAATTAATTACTGAAAAACATAGATCTAAAGTTACAACAAAAAAATTATATTAAAGCATACCTGTATTATATGTTCACCGTAGATCTACTATGTGGAGTCCAACAAAATTGGATTTTCTATTTTATGATTTTTCTGTGATTTACTATGATTTTTCAAATATTCAAATAAATAAATAAAAAGAAGAAGATAAAACCGTATTTGAAAATCGCTTATAACCGGTCACGGAGGTAAAACAAACGGTTTTAAAAATTCAGGGAGGTGGTTTACCTAGTTTTATAGTTTAGAGAGGAAAAATAGACTTTTACAAAAATTGAGATGTAATGTGGACTTTTTGGAACCAGAAAAGCATGCAACCAAACATGCACGCGAGGCGGACTCCTTGCCACCAACCAAACACTACCTCCCTGCATGGATTCGGCCTGGCTACTTGGCTAGCCAAAGCCTGACTGCTAGATACGGGCCTGGGGTGAGGCGTGTTTAGATAAGTAAATTTTTGGTTTTAGCTCTTTCAGAAGATTTTCGTTTTGTATTTAACAATTAGTGTCTAATTATGGATTAATTAGGTTCGAAAGTTTTGTCTCGCGATTTCTCACCTAACTGTATAATTAGTTTTTTCAAATCTACATTTAGTACTTACATGCATATGTCAAAGATTCGATGTGACACTTTGGGTGAAAATTTTTGGAATCTAAACAGGACCTGAGCTGAACAACGAACAAGAGAACAGGAGGATGACAACGCGGGGCTACAGTGCTACACTTGCACGTTCGCTTCAGGCCTTTCTCCGACCGTCATACAGATCGAAACGTACTACTCTCAGCAGACAGCACATTGAAGGTTGGAAGATGGAACATTAACAACATGGAAAGCGACGGGCCAAAACATCGACGACCTGGTCCAAAGCAATGGAGACCTGTTGGACTTGGACGGCGTCAGAGGCTCAGAGGGAGGTAACGATGCGCTGGATGATGGACGCCGTAATTTAATTACCTTGCACTACTACGCAAACGATTGGTACCAACGGTGTCTTTTTTTTTAACGAGCGACTCTATCACCAGCCGCTCATATAGTGGATGTGCTCGGGTTCCACTAGACCAGCCGAACAGTAGGGACGACCGGTGATATGAGCCGTCTCTATAAATATATCAATTTGTAGGAGCGGCTGACTTACGAACCTATGAAAGAGGCAAGCCCTTTCTACCAAATCAGGACATCCAGCGCCTACCACTTGAAATAAAAGAGGTTCTATGATTGGTACTTACGTGCTCTCCTAACCACCATAGAACCCATACAAGCACGCTTTCCCCAACACATTTGGGAGGCCCAAAAGGAAAAATTGTCTTTGATTTTAATGATATGCGAGCATAACCTTTCACCTCGGAGAAATGGAAATGAATCTAGTTCGCTCGTAGTGCCTATAAGTCCTTACCCTCTTCATACGATATGATTCTAATCTTTGGATTTTGTTATAACTAACCCACGTCATGATTTGTAGAATATAAGTGCACCTTTCAAAACAAATGCCAAGTGTGCGAGATGGGTACTTAGACCCTCAATGCATAGCACAGACGAACTTTACTTACGCCAAAGCATGGCAATTGGATGGCAAAGAGCTAGCTGCTGGAGAGACCATCCAAGAGAAAGAGAAAATCCAAAAGAAGGAAATAAGAAAGGCGTCCCTTAAGGTTGCGGCGTACATTTCCCTAGCTCTTAAACATCTCCAACATAACTCCTGTATATGACTGTCATACAACTTCGAGTAAGTTCAATTGTATACTTAAAGCTTTAAGAATATAAATTATTTTGTTGGATGCAAAAGAGCTTATCCATTTCTCTAATTAAATTCATGCAGCCGCACTGAATTGTTATAGGCATCGATATCGGGATGGGCATGACATGGGTCTTTGATTCAATAGATAAGGATCCGAACACATACAAAGACTTCGTATCGATTCTCAAGACGTATACATATCGGCAATCATCATTAGCTTATAATTGTAACATTCACTTTTGGATACTAACAAGTTATATTTGTTAAATTCATTCAATAAGGGCGTACATGTACTACGTTAACGAACACAAAGGGAGGCATGATCCACAAAGGAAGAACAACCTGTGTATCAAAACAAGATGTGCGGTAAGTGTAACTTACTTTGGTACTTCTATTATGTTGTTGTCAAAAGCATTGCTTAACATTTATATATGTGAAACGCACAAGGCCCCAAGGAAGCCTGTGAGTTTACATTATGGATATTATGTATGCGTGATCATGAGTAACACCACTAGCTACAGGAGACACCCTTAGGGTAAGTTTGAACCTCTTCCTCCGTAGTATAAAAACTTGTACAAAATGCACCCATATGTTACGGAATACTAAATCTAAACTTGGTTTCTTGTAGTGGCAAAATGAGAAAGGTGTGAGAAATGATCCACACAAAGATGACAACCTCTTGAAGCTCGTTGATGACCTTTGCAACTTTATAATGGACTAGATTGTACACATCGAGGCACTTACCATGACCCAAACGTCCGGACTTAGGTAGGAATCCTCAATACCAATATCTGCGTGAGTGGGAAAGGCCAGGCTTATGCCGCTGATTGGACTTGTGAATGGAATGTGACATTGGTAATGCTATCGGACTTGTGGAACGGGTCGGACTTGTGAATTATGTGAATGTAATGATGAATTATATATGTTCTTTTGAATTGGACTCGTAATTCTATTGGATATAATGTTCTTGTGAATTGGCCGTTGATATAATGTCACCGTGAATTATATATGTATATATGTTTGGTCAAATTTGAATTTTCAAATTTAATTTTTTTTTACAGAAAGCAATCGAGGGGCGATTCTAGAGTTAACTGCCCCTATAAATAGAAATTATAGGAACGACTGGTGTTACAAGCCGTTATAGGGACGGCTTGTAACACTACCAGCCACCCCTACAAATCAAATTTATAGGGACGGTGATTTGTAGCAATAGTTTCATACAAACTCTTATAAGCCACCCTCAGATCCTTTATCGTCAGAGTGTTGACTACGGCAAAACCGAACACCGAACCAAACCAAACCGAAATCGAATCAACCAAAACCGAACCGAATAGTCGGTAGTTCGGTTTCGGTTTTCAGTTCTGTGAAGTTCGGTGTTCGGCTTCAACTTCGGTTTCTATGCCATACCAAACCAAAAAACCGAAATACCGAGAAACCTGTTTTTTTTTCCTGTTGTTTATCAAAACTGATGGAGTACTGTGGTTTATTATCAAGAATGAACTGTAAATTTGTAATATTTGATTTGAGCATTGAATTGTTAAGTTTGTAACAGTCTTGAGTCTTCAAATAATATATTGTGCTGTGCAAGTTTGTACTGTGTTGTGCTGTCAATTCTAAGTCATGTCTAATATTTTCTTTCATTGGTTTATTCGGTTTTAACCGAAAAACCGAACTAAAAAACCGAACCGAAATTGATCGATTTTTAAAATTTTAGCAAACCGATCGGGGTCGTTTTCTGAAAACCGAAAAAACCGAACCGAACCATCGGTTAAAACCGAACGCCCAGATTGGTAGGCCTTGGCGGCACCAGACGACTCGGTCTGTCTCGCTCTGGCCGCGTCATCGTTGATCGCACGGTCACGGCCGGGAGCCGGGCGGCGCGCGCGCGGACGGTAATAAGTTAAGGTAGGCTCATGCACCGTGAATTGGTGAGCCAATGCGAGGAACTGAGCCAGCACTGCGGATCCAGCGGAGCGCGGTGCACGCGGAACTATGTGCTGAATCCTGTATATATCTGACGAGGACTCGCAGCTCGCAACAAGTCGCAATGGGAGGAGGAAAATTGAAAGGTGCGTGGCGTGCGTCAGCGCGTGCCTTGTTTGAGAGCTTCCGCTGCCCGCTGGCTGAAACATGCAAGTCCCGGCCGCGTTTCCGTCTTTCCGATCGAGATGGGATCACTGTAATGCGTCAACACGCGCGCACCGCGGTACACAACTTGTACACAAGGGACCGTCACGTCGTCACCCAGCCCATGTACCATCACATCATGCATGGCAACTTGCGATTAATAGCGGAGGCGCGGGGAGCGCTGCCCGGCGTCGGCGGGGCCCCAGTCAGCGTCAAGCCCTTGTTCAGCCATGGCGGCTCTGGGTGCTGGCTGGCCACGGCAACAGGTGATTGTCAACCTACGCTACGACGCGCTGCATGCCTGCGTACAAGTAGTACAACCCGGCCAGTACTCCATCTGTCCGTAAAAAAATACAATTATGGTAAACATGTCAGTCAAACTAACCTAATTTTAACCTAGTTTATATCAAATAGTGTTATCATTGATGTCTTCAAATAAATTTATTATAAAAATATATTCTATAACTAATCTAATAATTCTTATTCTATCTTATAAATATTAGTAATTTTTATATAATTTTAGTTAAAATTAAAACTGGTTGACTTCTTGAAAATTTAATTTTTTTATAGACGGGGAGTACTATCTTTACCGATGGAGTCTTTCGTCTCCTTGTGCTTCTCTGTTACAGTTAGACCGTAGTACGGCAAGTACGCAAAGCAGGTTTGTTTGTATATGGATCCTCTGCTCTGCACCCAAGAACGCCAGAACAATGTGTAACCTTTCTCCATTGCTGCATTGGCAAGATTTTATTTCACCGCAGGATGCTCTGTGGCTTTGTCTCCGAATATCAATCCATGTGGAGGTGGCGTCGGTACTATTAACAGAGAGAGTAGCAGTGCATCAACTCAGTTGTAAACTCCAGTGTCGAGCTCATCGTTTTCCTATATATATAATGCCTTCTACAAGTTTCTCCCTATTTACTTTTACACGCAAAATGGACCTTATGAGCCATTAAATTGGATTTTGATATTTGATAAACAATATGACCATTTGAACTAATGTTGTTTGTTAGTATATAAGGTATAGTTTAAATGGATACAAAGTGGACTTAGACAGAGGTGGTAATCGGATAATCAATACCTCAAACAATACATTAGAAGACTTATGGAAGACATACAAGTGATGCTAAAAGTCCAAGACAAGATAGAAGTCTGGATGAAGATTAGGCCTAGTGCTCAATGAAGTTTGCATACCTCTTATCACTAGATGCTTGGGCGCACCATTTATTGTACTCGGATGGGCTTGCAGTCTTGCGAGATCACACCAAATGCGTTTGTGGTGTGGAAGTCACCGATGTACTAGAGGAAACGAGGCCCGCGACATTTTATCCAAAAGCTTAATTGTCGGGGACCAACAGTAGGGTACCCGAAGAAGAGGAGTTGATACCCATCAACGCTTAATTCATCAACGCGATCAAGAACGCGACTACATTTCCTGGGTGGGCCCGCCTCGTCCGAACCACCAAGGCCGCATGCTCCGTTTCGTCCGACCCCGAGGGTTGAGAACGCCTCAGCCGATTTCGAGGGATGATTCCGTCTCGCGATGTCCGAGGATCTGGCTCCGCCTCACCCGACGCTCTAAGGATAGCTCCGCCCGCCGACGCGTCGAGGATCGGCTCCACTTCGCCCGACCCCGAGGGTTGGCTCGCCGCCGACGTCTCGAGGATCGGCTCCGCCTACGCGACGATCAAGACTGCTCGCCGCCTGACGTCCCGAGGACTAGCACTGCTTCGCCCGACCCCCGAGGGTTGGCTGCACCTCACCAGATGTCTAAGGGCTGTCTCCACCTCGCCCGACCCCCGAGAGTTGGCTCCGCCTTGGCCGACGTCTGCGCGCGACTCCTTCCTAATGACGCGTGCAGATAAGACATGACACTCAAGTCAACCGTAATACCGAGGACCATACCCTGCATGCCTGCAGAAAAGTACCATCAGGATATGACAAGAAGGGTGCTTTGAGACCTTCCAGGTATGTCAGAGCCCAAACAGTGTTGTAGACGCCAACATTGGTCTTACAGTGTTGTGGGCGCCGCCATTTGCCCTCGGGCGCGGATCCTGACGGAAGCTCATGACAACCACTACGGTCCAAGAGGAAACTCGCAGCACCTACAGTAACGGACCTATGGTCACTATGCCGTCTGCTCCCTGTATGGTCACGGATCAGTAACCTGGTCCACCGCGCCGCTCGCTGGGGCGGGATGGGACGTGACAACTTGCTGAAAAATGCCAGCAAGTGATATCATCAGCGGACAGATGCCCAGCGCGGCCCTATCAGGATCAGCGGACATGCACCCAGTGTGGAGCTATCCCTGGCACCGCCTGCCATGTCAGCGGGGCCCGCACAGAGGAAAAGAAAGACCTGGCATCTTTGAAGGACCTCCTTTGCCTCTGATTTTTCTCTTTCTCCCATATGTAATCCCTGCTCTCCCTTAGCCTATAAAAGGGAAGGCAGGGCACCCCACTAAGGGGATCGATCAATTCAATACATCACGCATCACATCACACATAGCTGAGCAGCATCTAAGCTCTCAACACCAATTTGACCTTTCCATTAGAGACTTGGGACCTGTCCCTCTCTCGCCCGTTTGTAACCCCTACTATGAACTTTTTAGTGCTAATATCATGAGCAGCAGCCACGAACTGGACGTAGGGACATTATGCCCGAACCAGTATAAACCTTATGTCTTTTAGTACACCATCCGGGCCAGACGCGCAATAACACAAATTTACTCGTTGGTGTTTACTCGAAACACCGACAGTTGGCGCGCCAGGTAGGGGCCTTTGCGCATCCTGACAATAACATCAGGCCACGGATGGCTAATCACGGTATCAGCTGGGCCCCAGGCGCACACGTGCGTTTCGGGGACCTGGACTTTATCATCGCGGCGGAGGGAGAGCTGGCGGAGGCGCCCGTTGTCGTTCAACCCTTCCACTCCCACAGCCTCGACGCGATCACCGAGACGCTTTCGAGGAGCTGCATGGCTTACCAGAAAGAACCGTTCTCCTCGAAATACCTCATCCGGAGCACCACAGCAAGTGTTCCCGTTCGGTCTCCGCAATGCCGCAAAGACCATTGGCCACCTTGTGGCACAGTGCATGATACAGTCCCCCATGGACAATGAGTTCGTGGGGGTGATCGAACACGTCGTGGAATCTTTCCATGACCTCCTCGTAGAGAAGCCGGAATCGCCCTCCGGCTCTGACTCCAGCAGGGGGAGCCATCACCCCTCTCGTGAATGCTTCATGACGGGTACACCCGAGAGACATATCTAAAGCATCCCCGAGGAGGAGGCTACCTCAGCGAACGACCTTGATGACGAGGCTGAGGGGGAGACAGCGGCCCCACCTCGCATAAGGGTGGAGCAGCTAAAAGCCTGACACCGAGAGATCGAGGAAGCGTGACTCCAGCTCAAGCAGGAATGCGCGGAGCTCGATCGGGAGATCGAGCGCCACGGAGACGGTGGGCGCGCACGCGCCATGGCCCGCGACGTGAACCAGAGGATCATCGTCGATGATGAAGCCCTCCCTCACTTCGCCCGAGCAAGCCAGAACATCAGACCTTGCTCCATGGTCTTCTAGAGGCCATGACTCCTGAGGATCGTCGGACCCACCAAGAGATTTGCACGATGCTCGAGCGTGCAGCGGCGCAGCAGGCCGAGAGCTCGTTGTCTCGGCGACATGAGCTCGACACCAGCCAACGCACGCCCTCAAAGCTCCCCGGCAGGGACGCGTCGGTCCACCAGGAGCCACAAGGCCATGGGCAGCGCACCGCGGTCCCGGTGCGTCAGCGTCTCGGCAGCAACCGCGACGCACGCAACACCCTCAATGCCCGTAGGCATACCTACGATGGCTCAAAAGAGGGAGTTAGCCGCGGCTATCACCCTCATCGCGGTAGGCGCTACGATAGCGGCGAGGACCAAAGCCCGAGCCTCGGCCTACCGGGGCCTCAGGCCTTCGGCCGACATATCCTCAACGCTGCCTTCCCGCCAAGGTACCGACCCCCAACCAACATCCCAAAGTACTCTAAGGAGACGAACCCTGGACTATGGCTCAAATATTATCGGCTTGCCTGCCAAGCCGGTGGTGCGGATAATGATGATTTTATTATCCGCAACCTTCCGTTGTTCTTGGCCGATTCGGCACAAACATGGTTGGAACACCTTCCGTCCAACAAGATCCAAGGTTGGGCGGACTTGAAGGAGATCTTCGTGGGAAACTTCCAAGGCACATACAAGCGCCCTAGGAACCCATAGGACCTCAAGAATCGCCGACAGAAGGCGGAGAAACCCTCCGTGGGTACATCCGCACTTTCTCTCGATAATGCAATGAGCTGCCCTAACATCGCCGACGCCGACGTTATAGGGGCTTTCCTATCTCGGGACCACAGTGAATCTCGGTTCACAAGCTAGGACGCAAGGGTCCACGAACCACCAAGGAGCTCCTTGACATCGCCACCAGCCACGCCTCGGCGAAGAAGCGGTCGGAGCGATCTTGATCGCTTTAATGGCAAAGCGAGGCGGGGCGAGGACGGGCGTGAAGGCGCCTCAATCGCCCCGCCAAAAAGAAGAACAAGAAGCAGCAGGCGTGAGGGCTCGCTGTGGCCACCATCGACCCTAGGGGCGGTCGGAAGCCCGCGGAGGGCACTCAACCACTTGAAAAAACTACTCGAGGGGCCATGCCCAACCATGCCTTCCCGTCAAGCATCCTCAGACAAGGACTGTGCCATCATGAAGCGGTTCTTGTCCGGAGGCTCCAACAAAGGGTAGCACGGAAGGACCCCGACCACCACGCAGACGATGCCGAGGAGAAGGAGGCGGCTTTCCAACACCGGATGGCTGCCTCATGATCTTCGGAGAATCAGAGGCCTATGACTCCAAGCGCCACGTAAGATCGCACACCGTGAAGTATACATGACCGAACTGGCCACGCCTACCTTCCTCTAGTGGTCAGAGTCTGCTATAACCTTCGATCGGACCGACCACCCAGAGAGCGTCCCATAGCCGGGGAGATACCCGCTCATGGTTGACCTGATCGTCAAGATGAAGTAGGTCACCAAAGTAGTAATGGATGGAGGTAGCGGCCTCAACATCATGTCGCCGAGACGCTTCGACGCTATGGGCATCGACCGAGCAAGATCCGCCAAGCCGGAGCGCCTTTCCATGGCATCGTGCCTGGAAAGCAAGCCATGTCACTTGGGCAGATTGATCTGCTTGTCACCTTCGGGGGCCCGTCCAACTACAGGACGGAGACCCTCACCTTTGAAGTGG